GTATCCTGGGAACATGGCCTTATGCTGCTAGAAACCATGTTAGAGAGAGTTTTTTTAAATCAACATTCAGGTGAAAAACCATGGGTTTCCCAAGGTGAGATTCCTTGGGACGCTGGAGATAATAGTTTGGGATAATGACTGAGGCCCAAGCCACATTTCCAATGTGACATAGGAAATGAATGGAAAGTGCAGGCAGGCGGGGTAGATAAAACTAAGCCAAAATAATACAAGAAGGCTGAATGTGAAGGGCTGGGCAGGAAAATGCTATTTTTTTTAAAAAAAGAAGACCAGTACCTACTTGGAAAATATATTACGGTCTCTTAATTCTAGATGATAACCAAGCTACAGTTGCTGACTCCCTTGTCCAACTGTAAACTCCTCGCTGGCAGGGCTCACGTCTTCTAGTTTGCATCTCCAGAACCAGGCCAATGTGCAGAGCGGGCATGAACTGAACGCCTTCCTTGTGATGGTCTGCCTTGCTGTTTTTGAAGACAAAGCCTTCCAAAGGTACCATTGTAGATGAATTATGGAGGTCTGGGCAGGACAAAAGTGTCATTTGATGGATTTCTACTGCTCGAACAGGGAAACTCAGCAAGTGTTAAGCTGCTGGATGGCACCACCCTGGGGAGCCACCCTTCCAGCCCCGGCTCTTTCTTCTTCAACACAGAAGGACGCGCAGGAGAATAAAACAGTGCCAGGCGGCTCCATGCACCCAGGTGGCCATTTCTAAGCTGTGCGCCAGGCCCAGGGGAAGTAAGAACCAGATCTGCCCGCAAATTCAGTCCTTCCAGAGGCCAAAGAATGTGCCGGGAACCACGAAGGCTGCTGCCTGTTTTCAGAACATACTTTTTTCCTTCGTTCCTCCTGCTCTGATTCTTAATTACCAGAAAGGACAGGCATAGCTAGTCTTCACTATTGAGAAGCATCCTTTCTTTTAAAAATCAGCTTTTATTTTCATTTTTAAAATATATGTATATTGTAGCCCGGCCGGGCGTGGCTCAGCAGTTGAGCGTCAACCTAGGATCCAGGCGATCGGGGTTCGATTCCCGGTCAGGGCACATGCTCGTGTTGTGGGCTGCAGCCGGTCAATGACTCTCATCATTGATGTTTCTATCTCCCTCTCTCCCTCTCCTTTCCTCTCTCTGAAATCAATAAAGATATATTTAAAGAAAAAAATAAAAAATAAAATATATGTATATTGTAAAAAATTTGGATAACACAGAGAATAAAAGCAGCCATAATCCTTCCCTACTACTCCTCCCCCTCCCCCAAAATAACCACTTATAACATTTGATGGTTTCCTTCCTGCCTTTGTTCTATTGTTTATATCACTTGACCTAGTTCATACTGAGGAGAAAGAACCCTCTCCTTAGGGTTTTCTGTAAAGGTCAATGGAGCCAGCTGATTAACAAGAAAACAATCACACTTTACATTTGCATAAGTTTTAATTTATCAAAGCCCATTGACATCCATCATGGAATTCAGTGAGCACATCAGATAGACTAAACCATGTATCTGGAAACTAAGGTCAGAGAGGAGAGAGGGGGGCCTTGCCCCACATGATGTGGCTGAGAAGGGTCAGAGCCAGAATCTGAGGTCTCTCTATTTCTTATCTAGAGATTTCCCCTACAATGATTTCTATTGTCCTTTCCAATTAAAGCCTTTATGTCTAAGCACAGAAATTCCGTTTGAGAGTTAGGACTTCTACTTCCTGTGGTTTATTTTTGTGCCATTGAACACATTTGTATTGAATGTGTCTGCTGAGCTGCCAGCCTGGGAACTTTGCCACCATCGCATGCACAGCAGCAGTTTGCTCACCATGCACCAGTTTCCTCTGTTGCCCAAGCAGCTGGGCTTGGTCCCTGGCAGCAGGCACCTGGGGCACAGCGCAGCCTCTAGGGCCTCTTGCCAGAAGAAGAAACTTGCCTCCATCATTTCCCCAAGTACCTGCCTCAGCCACCATGTACGTGTTTGTAGCTGTGCCTGTAACCAAACTAGTCAGCCCTTGCTGGAGGTATGGACCGTTCAACAGAGAGCTTTCTGTGTAAGTGGTACCTCAACCATCTGGCTCTCACCTTCCTGCCTGGCCCTTGCCAAATTTCTTTACCACAGAAAAAGCAGTTCTGTGTATGCTAAGGCTTTTAATTTCTGTTTTTTCTATTTCTTCTTGTTTTAATTTCTGATTTTTCTATTTCTTTTTGTTTTAATTTCTGATTTTTGGTCTCTTTGCCTATGTCATCTTTCCCTTCCTAATTTCAGCATTTTATGTAAGTCTGTAAAATTAGGCAGATTTAACAATTTGATGAAATCAAAGATTTCATAGAAAAAATGTTAAGCCCCCAAATGGTGTTTTGGGTTTCACATCACTAATGAGATAGGGATTAAAGAGAAAAAAGAGGCAGAGAGGGGACAAAGAAGACCATATAGAGAGAAATGAGAGGGGACAGAGACCACGGAAGACTCACGAATTTCTGAACAGGGCACTTTATTTAGTAAAAAAGAAAATGTTTCTGTGCCATTGCGTTCTCATGTGAATTATAGGTCTCGTGAACATTATCACATCTGATTATCGACTTTTCACAAGCAATTTGAAGCTGGCATTTCTTCAGCAGAAAAGGCTTGGCAGTTTTATTTTTAAACATCAAGGACTATTTTTTAAGTGCAAATTTACTTTCACATAGAATCCTTATAGTTTTCCCTGGAGAGAGAAAAAATTCTATAGTCTATTCCTTTGGCTGTGAAAGCTATCGATTGTGTTAGTCACCACTCTTTCGTCACTGCAGGCCCCCTGCTGGTTCTGATTGGAGCCATTTGTGTCACGGTTCTAATACTATTTACTTTTGGATTTCCTTTTGTTTACTTGCCACCTGTTTGAGACCAGCGAAGAGCTTATATACCAGTTAGAAAAGCAATAAGGCAACTGCTGGGATGTGAGTGGGTTTGCAAGTGAACCAGGCCAGGCAGCCCAATGCCAGCTTGGCTAGCTCCTCTTAAGCCATCCACCCCATCACTCAGCGTGGGAGCCACCACCCTGGGACAGGGCTGTGCCTGAGCCTTTAGGTAGCATCTCTACAAACCCCACTCAGACTGATCTTTGAAAAAGCAAGATCAAGGCCACATTGGGGTGTCTGTGGTGAGCCAGCTACAGTCACTCATCCTCCTAGCCTGTCACAGACAGTGGTCACCTCAGTATAGCTAGATGTTTAGCTCAAGAGAAAAGCCACCGAAGCATTCTTTCTGCCTCAAAGTAGCTGAATTCTTTTATTGAACTCAGCGGTGTTTTGTGTTCAAACTGGTCAAGAATGAAACTGAGTGGTTTCAGGATTGAATTTTCCAACTAGGTTTCTGTTTATCAGCTTTAGATACCTCATCTCATAAAATTGAAAGGGAAAAAAAAATTGTACCTTATTTTTGGATGCTAACTAGTTTCAATATCCACTCATCTTATTTCCCATAACTAATTGGCTCAGATTTGTTCCTTGATTTCAAACCTGTCCTCCCAAAGGGAGCATCGCCTCTTCCCTGCATGGGAGAAAACACAGGTTCCTTGGCTTTTGAAGGAGCTGTTCACAAAATTGATTCACAAACGAAATCAGTGGTGTCCTACCTGAGCTCATTCTCAACCCTGAATCCTTTTCTTCGAGCCAGCTCCATGAGGAAGGCCCTGCGGGTAGTTCCCATTTTCTTCTCCAAAATGAACAGGACCAGGTCTCGGAACTTGATGTCCTGAGGTGGGGAAGCCATCGAGCCGCCCATCTGCCTGGGTCTCTTCTTCCGAGGGCCCAAGTGGGCCATGCACAGCGAGTCCATGGCAAGGAGGCTGCTTCTGCTCCTGGCTGTGTCTTAAAGTGGTGTCTCCAGAAGCTGGGGAGAGGCTGCCCCTCCTTCATAAGAGCTCTGATGTCACCTCACCAGCACACGCTGCAGGCAAGGCTCCTGGGCCCTGCCTTTACCATGTTCTTCCTGGTGAAGAGTGATGGGGAATCTTTGCCTCTGTTCAGCTCATTTGTCCAATGTGGAGATCACAATGGAAGCAGTAAATTAATTTTTGCTTACCTACACATAATCTCATCAGATCCTTAGAATAATCTCGTTAGAAAGGTAGAGAAGCATTTTTTTCCCATTTAAAAATTTTGTTTATTTATTTATTTGTTGAGGCCCCTCTTGTCTTTATTTTTTTCTCCCTTTTAATCTCCCAACTCACTTGCACTCTCTTTCTCTCATAGACAATCCTTACAACACATTGGATTTCTTTAATTTACATCAGCATCATAATACATTGTGTGTGGTTGTTTTGATTTTGCATAAATGGGATTATTATAGTTCTCATTCTGCTGGTCACTTATGTCACTCAAAGCAATGTTTTCAGATCCATCCACATTGCTCTGTGCTCTAATATGTTGCTTCTAATTGCTCCATAGTACTTCATGGTGGGCATGTTAGCTATGTTGATGCATTTTATATGTGAAAATAACAAGATTCAGACAATTTACTCAAGATCACAGAATGAGGGGCGGAACCAGATCTTGAATTCAGGTCTTTAGACCCCACATGCTTTCTATCTCAGCTTTTTCACTGGACTGAAAGGCTGTCTGGAGAATAGTCCATTATGGAACTCAAAAATTGATCTTTTGGGATGAAATGGGCTGATCTATGAGAATTACTGCCATAAAGAGACATTTTCATAACTTTATATGCAAATAAAATTAGTGTTTTTCATTGATACACTTGATGAATCTCATTTCCTGAGCATCTCCTGTGTGGCAAAGGCAAGTACCGACAAGCCTCGGCTGACTGAACTCTCACAACAACTCTGTCTGGTAGCTACTAACATTCCCACTGGGCTAAACAACCTGCTCAAAGTCACAGAGCTAGTAAGTGGTCTCAAGTAGGAAATGATTAAGCCAGGACTTGAACTCAGATTGCTCTTAATCACCAAGAAAACGTTCTCTATGTGTATGTTCTCCAGTAAAAAATTCAAGTTCTGCTCCTCCACTCTGCCATATTTGGGACTTTTGCTACCTCCAAAAGTACATGAGCGACTCACCACAACACCAGGAGAAGACTGACCTGTCAGCTGCCTTCAAGCATTTACAAAGCTGTGCTGCTCAGGAGAGCAAGATCAAAAATCTTCAGGTGGAGCTTGTAGAGTAATAGATCTTAACACTCTGCGAGTAAGGACTTTTTATTAACCAGGGCTGTTGAAAAACATAGAGAGGCTGCATTGTATATGACAGGTCATGAGAAGTGTTCAAGTAGAGTCTGGACAACTACTTATTGAAATGTTACAGAAGGGATTCAGATATCTGATAAGGCCTTTTTATGCTCTGTGATTCCAGTTTGCTATGATTGCTTGCTGAAGATCAAAATCTGGGGTGAGTCCATTCTGGTCCTTACTGTTAGGCCTTTTGTTACTGTAATGCCGAAAGCTTCAGCTGAGAGCAGTCTTAACTACCAAGTGGCCCTGAAGCATGGAGCAAGCAAAAGATTCTCTCAGTGTACTCGCTTTACCTTTCAACCTTCCAATGCCTATTAAGCCAATGCTTATATTAAATTCTCTTTGTTGAAATGCCCAGTGTGCTTTTCTTTTTACTAACTGGCCGCTGACCGATACACCTTCCAATTAAAGAGAGGTGTAGGAGATGGGGACTTACCTACACTACTCTTTCTAAAGGGAAATTTGACAACAGTGTGAAAAGATCTTAAGGTGTCCAAATCCTTCGATCCAGCGTTTCCACTTCTTTTTAGGAAAGAGAAACACATAAAGACGAGTGTGCTAAGAGCTTCACCACAACATTGTGCAGGGGAGACTTAAAGCAACATGAATGCCCAGTAACAGGAGGGTTAGAAGTATGATAGAACCCAATGCAGCTTCTAAAATCATGTCATATGAGAATATTAAAGCATGGGTAAATGGTCACAATATAACTATAAAACCAGTTTACAAAATATTTACTGTATGACATCAATTTTGATAGAAAATATGGCAAGTAATATAATAGTAGATATCACTAGTTGTTTGGTTTATGGGTAACTTATATTTTTGTATTTGTGCTCTTCTGTATCTTAAATTTTCTATAATAAAAATAAATTATAACCACAAAAAAACCCACAAATTACTTTAAAAAATAATCTTAAGTTGACACCATGTGGCCTTCGTGAAAAGCTGCGATTCAAAGGCAGCAAGGTTGCTCTGAGTAAGCTAAATAGTACTTGAAGATGTTTTCTTATAATTAAGGCATAGGGCTGAGAGACAAACGCTATTCTACAGTATGTAAAAGTCATTTCTTACTGCCAGGCAAGGCTCCAAGGGTGTCAGGTTCCTATGCTGAGGAGTGGAGGGGTTGTGTAATTTTGCCTGCCCATAATTCACTGATGCTGACTCTGGGAGAGAGCTGGAAGCTTCTAAGTGCTTTCTGCTGCCTTATTGTTCCCCTTCCCTCCCATGTCCCTCCCTTGTTTCTGTCAGAGTACTTCCCACTGGCCTTTAGCTTTCCCTGGACTCTTCCAAAAATGGTATCAGTCCCACTCAAGAACAGTCTCGGGATCTCAATGAGACCACAAGGGTGTCCTGAAATGATTCTCAACCTGGGTTCCAGGGAACACCAGTCTCAAAACAGAAAGTTCTGTAGTGAAATAAGTTTAGGCAAGCTAGACAACTCCATACAATTTGTGTTAGAACACTGAGGAAACCTGGTTAATTTTGTTTATAGCCCAGTGTATTCCCAACTTGATTGTTTTTTATTTGTGGGTTTTCTAGAAACTTACAGCACCTTGATGAACACTGCAAATGTTCATCGGCTACATATGTACTAAGTCTGGGAGCCTGGAGTTAGGCACACCTGGTAACCACCTGCCACTCACCAGGTGTGTGATCTTGGGCAAGGCACTTAACCTGTGGAATTCTCAGCTTCCAATTTGTAAAATGGCAATCACGGCCAACTTCACTGCATTGGGAGTGATAAATAAGATGGCATGAACATACCTGCCTGGCCCACTGTGGATACTGAGTCTACCCTCTCCTTTGTCCTGCCACTCCCACATGCCGGCAGACACATCCAGCTCCTGACTTGGGTCGGTGATGACAGCTAAGAGGAAACTGAGGGCACACCTGGTCACTGGCCACCCCTCTCATGCTCTTGTGCTGTTGCTGCTCTTCTTGGCTTGATATTGATTTGTTTTCCCATTTGGGGTAATACTTGGACCCACATGATGGTTCTTAGGGAGCTTTATTGAGTGCGTGTGTGTGGGCAGGGAAGAGGGAGAGGGTGCAGGGTTTCCCTGGTTCCGTGCAAAGTGAGGCTCTTCCCATCAACAAACATCACTTTTATCCCTAGGAGTCCTGTTGTTGCTCTGTGTATGTGCATCAGGAGAAGTCCGTTTGAGACAGAAACCTTCTGCTTCCGGCAGTTTTCTTTTATATGAAATATCATGTATCATCTACTCCTTTCAAGCTGTGGATCTGGGAACTTTGCCATCCTTGACTGTGCGGGCAGAGTTTGGTCTGGTTTGGTTTTTTTACCGAGAGCCAGCTTCCTCTGCGGCCTGAACAGCTGTGTCTGGTTCTTGGCAGCAAGTGTCTCCTGCAGCTTAGAGCTGCCTCCTCAGGAAAACTGGTAGAATTGGTTTCTTTTTATACTAGGGTAGTTGTTTTATTTTATTTTTAAATTTTTTTTCAATTACAGTTGACATTCAAAATTATATTAGCTTCAGGCGTACAGCATAGTGGTTAGGCATCTATATACTCTATGAAGTGATCCTTCCTGAATAAGTCTAGTACCACCTGACACCACACAGTTATTACAACATGATTGACTATATTCCCTACGCTGTACTTTGCATTCCCATGACTATTTTGTAAGTACCAATTTGTACTTTTTTAATCCCTTCACCTTTTTCACCCAGCCCCCCAACCCCCACCCCTCTGGCAACCATCTGTTTGTTCTCTGTATCTATGAGTTTGTTTCTGTTTTGTTTGTTCATTTATTTTGTTTTTGTAGATTCCCCATATAAGTGAAATCATATGATATTTGTCTTCCTCTGTCCTGACTTATTTCACTTAGCACAATATCTTCTAGGTGCATCCATGTTGTCATAAATGGTAAGATTTCATTCTTTTTTATGGCCAAGTAATATTCCATTGCAGATATGTCTTAAAAAATCTTGAAAAATTTGCTTCTTGCCATTGAGAAGCAATCCATAGTCATATATCCTTGATGCTAATAAACACAAGAAAATTCTGTATTTTAGTGATAACTTGGGGTTTCACCTTCATCCACAAGGTGAGAAATGATGACAAGGACAAGGGAACTGATGGAAGCAGCAGCCTATATGTGACTTCTAGTCTTTATCAAAACTATTTATTAGACTCCAGCTATGCACAAGATGGCAGTAAGACTACAGAGGGGATAAAACACACAACCCCGGCCCTCATGGAATTTGCATTCCATTAAGGGGAAACTGATAATAAATACAATTAATAAATAAACTGGAATAGGCCTGATGGTGATAAGTGCCATGGGAAGAAACAAAGGGCATGGGCTGGGGTTGGAGTGGCAATTTTAACCAAGATGTCAGAAGGCCTCACTGAGGAGGTGAGATTTGAGCAAAGACCTGAAGGAAGCTAATTTCAATAGGAATAGAGGCTGGGGGTAAGTGTGACAGATCAAGGAGGTGAATCATAAAGAAGCAGCTTTCAAAAGAGAATCTCACAACATTGTAGACAATGAATTAGAAAACAATAGCGTCATAACTAAAATAGTAACATATGCAGAATGAAGACAAACGATATGTGCTTGTCCTTTCCAGTTTGAAAAGAGTTGGTTGTTTTTTCAGTAATTTTTTACTAGATTGTGTGGGGGAAATTGTATGCTATAGTAGTATCTGTTA